GCACTTCATCTGATTTAAACCATCTGTGAGAAACATACAGTAGTCAGATGAAAAATATGACAAATGTCCCTGGTCTGCCTAACAGGAGGGTTAAATAAATAAATGCATTCAAACAGAAGAAAACTCTGACACATTTTTTTAATTAAAAACATTTCTTTTATTTTCGTCCCACTTGCAGTACAGCACAATGTTGTCATTTCCTCCATTGTTTGACTTTTGTGGCTAAAGCAGAATGTTGGCAGCATCCCACCACATCTGTGAATCTGTGACTTTCATATGAATTTGTCATGTTTGTCTGCCAGTATGTTGCGCTGACAAAAAAGCACAGAACAAGAACCGGTTCTTCAGTCTTTACAGGAATAGTAATAGAAGACCTTAAACATTGTTCAGAGGTATATGAGCAGGAACTGCAGGTGTGCTTCTGATGCAGGCTGAAGCTGGGCATGCCAGGTCAGAATTCTGGTAAATGCTTTACATCATCCTCAATAAACTAAGTTTTTAATTTGGCTTTTATCATATTTCCATTTACTCTTTTCATCAAACACCATGTAATTTTCATAATGGCAATTTCAACAGTAAAGGACAACCATAAGGAACTAAAAACTGTCAACTTTCTAAACTTGAATTTACAAAACTGCATCCATAAATGTTTCGAAGCAACATTTTGAGCCTGTTCTCGAACCCTATCTGGAATCAAACAATTTGCATTTGACACAGTCATCAATCTAAAGAGTTATGAAAGCAGGGGTAATCATATACAATAACTAAGAAACCATCATTCCCTGGGCTTCTCATTTGATACGACATAAAAGGTGTGTAAAGAGTTCCTTCACTTCAGGAAAAAAGGATGTCTTAGGAATGTACAGAAGGAAATTTAAAGCTGATATGGGAAAGTTTGAAGAAGTACCGCAGATGTCAAACCTCATAAGTGGCAGTTAAGGTCCAAAATGGCCTATATCCTGTTGGCTTTAAGGCATATTTTGAGGAGATGTTCTTATTCTGCCATTCAGAGTTTAACATGTGTATCGATTATTAAATGTCTGTGGATTAGGAGATGGTGTGTCACTATACTTTTGCAACCGATAACTGATAAAGTTTTCATAGCCCCACAATGAGCTTCTTATTTTGAGGTTTTGGAATTTGTTTGAAATATTTAGATATAAAGGCCCTAATGCTGCTTTCAGGTACTTGGGTAGGTCTAAAAAACTTATCTAGATTAAGAATGAAAGAGGAAACAAGGAATATGGTGACACTATGGTCAAAAATAAGTTAACAGTGCCAATAGGAAATGCAAACAGCACAACAATTCACAACAATGTGGAATTAAATAGTTAAGCATTTTAAAGTCAGGCTATCTGCTAAGTTGTTCATAATGACGTGAGATAAAAGCGCTGCCATCTTCATCTCAGTCAATGCAAAAAAATCACTAAGTCAGTGTACATGTAGAACTGAAAATTTGTATACTGAGAAAATGATAAATATTTTAGTCGCTAATTTCAGAAAGTGTATTATAGTGATTTATTACACAAAGTGAAATATCGCAAGTCCTTATTTTTTGTAATCCTGATGATTGATATATACAGAAAGATCATGAAAACACCAGTTTTTGTGTCTCAAAAATGTAAGGATTTAAACAAAAGTACAAAATTGGACACTTATTGTATCAAACCGCAATAAGCTACTTACTGTATCTCAATAAACCCTCAGAGGTCTCCTAATCCTCATAATGATCGGGGTAAGTAGGCCTTATAGCCATGACGAACATTGATTACTGGACATATGGCCAGAAGACAATCTTTCAAGAGAAGTTTAAGCCACAGAATCTAATTTCTTTTTTTTTTTAAGGAATCCTTTCAAATAAACTGCTGAAAAGTTCAAAGAAGATAAAAAGCTGCAAAAGTTAAAGAGCATCGAGACCTTAAAATCTGCTCTAAACTGACAAGGCAACCAGTGAAGAGATGTTAGAACTGGAGTAATGTGACAATATTTGCCTATTTTACTTAAAATGCAAGCTGTGATACTCTGAGCCATTGGTAGACCTCTATAACCTTTACTCCATTACCCCCAATAAATAATCAATGCTTGAGGACACAAAAGTGTGGATAAGAACATGTATGTTTTCAAATAATAAAACCTTCCTGATTCATGCAATGTTTTCCTAGATAATAAGAGGAAGTTGTTACATCTTTCCCACAAGGCTAGAAGAAGATAATTTAATAACCTGCTCATTAAGCTTCATGGAGATCTATTATTTAATTTATTTATTGCTCTGGTAGGAAAAAGTGTAACAGGAAAAGTAATAACCACAGCCTTAATGTTTTTGCCAAGAAAATATTGGCTGAGAGAAAAAGATACGAACTATTGCTGAGTGGTCCAAATGTCCTCTTTGATGAAAGTAAAGTTTGAATTTAATTTGGAAATGAAATGAAAGTTCCAGTGTCTGGAGGAAGAGACACAGGAAACGTGTGGAGTTTCCATAGGTAGTTATAATTCCAGGTGCTGGTGTTGGTCCACTGTGTTTTCTGAGTCATCTATCAGGACATTTTAGATCAGACTTCTTTCACCTGTTGCACTTTTTAAAGATATTCATTTAATTTTTCAGCAGGACTAAGCACCTGTCTACACTGCAAAAAGGTATACTGCTGATTCAATGACCATGTTACTGAGGTTGACTGGCAAGCAGAATCGCACTGACCTGAGAGCAATGAAGAGGCTATGGATCACCGAGAGGAAAATGTAAGACACTAGACCTAACAACAGGGATAACCTAAATGCCACTATCAAGCAGTGTCAAGGCCTTCATGCCATGCCACACTGATAAGTGTGTTATTGTATTTTTTTTTAGCATTGTAACTAAAATTCAATGGTTTCCAAACCCAGAAATACAGTGACAAATATAAAAAAAAAGAAAGGAAAACAACTTCCAGTACAGTGTAAAAAGGTAAGAAAATAACAATGCTGCAGTTTAGGATTCATTAAAGAAACTGCAGTAATTTGGTATGGTGATTTGTTATCAAGTAAAGGGCCAGAAAAGTTAACTATGAAGAAAAGTTCAAACAGTAACAAAGGAGTAAAACAGGCATAATATTTTACTCTACAATGAATGATAATTAAGGCGGCAGAGAAATGTAAGAAGTAAGGAATAGATATAAATGAATTGCACATATCAGAGGCAGGTGGTTAAATCAGAATGATTATATTATACTGCACTTACAAGTAGGGGTACATATACATGTGTGGTGGTTTCTTATGTGTTTGTGTGGTAGACAGATGTGTGTGTGTGTGTGTAGTAACCCATTTAGAACAAAACCAAAGTTAGGCAAAAAAGTATTTGATGTGTCTATTCTTTCCTTAGATTTTATGCAAATCTTCTGTAACATTGCACTTAGAATTTCCATTAATCATAAATCAGGGTTACAATATCAAAAGAAATAAAGCTTTGAAGTGTTCCTTACTAATGCTGAAAAAAACTACTCTATACTGTATATAGGTATATATATATATATACCGTATATATATATATATATATATAGATCTGTGTCTCTGTATAAAGAGATATGGACAGATCTATATACACATAATTTATATATATAAATATATATGTATGTTTTTGTATGTAGATCTATCTATATCTGTATATATAGATATATAAGAATGGAATATTAATGTAATCTAAGCTTTTTCACAGCCCCATTTTGCCAAAGCTGTAATTATATACATCAGATTTAGCTTTTCCTCTTTCATATATTGTATCAGCCATAGCAGTCTGTCTGTCTGCCATCTATAAAGGGATATTACCCCTAAATATATATATATTTTTTTTCACAGATAGACACCATATATGTGTATATAATTTGGTTGGGGCGCCTTGCATGGTAAATGTAGTGAAACGACAGCTTAGTTCCAAAAATGACATTGTGTTACTAGCCACATCATGTCTCAGAGAAATGTCTTTACTCTTCACTCGGGTATAGTCTAAAACTGAGGATCAAGAATGAGAAACCTGTGGTTAAAACCTGCTGTATTCATAAAATATTTAATTAGTTCCCAATCTGACACACAACATCACTGCTACAGTGATATGGTCTTAAGACAGTCGTGCACCTCTCCTTTTTTCACTATACGTTAAGCTCTTTGCATTAGCTATTGAAGATAGCTAATGTAGGCGGATGGTTAATCTTATGTGAGCGCAGCAATATACTGCGCTCAAATATTGTAACAAACACAGTTACATACTGGTCTCTGCTTTCACGGGGGGCGAGGGAGCTAGGCAGTAGGTCTTAGACAAGGAGAGACACAGACAAAAAGACAGTTTCATTAAGATAATACCATGAATTTAGTAGACAAACTTATATAACAGATGATAGTTTTTAAATATACTATTATATACATATAAATCGGCTTTTTTTTCTATAGGAAATAAATATACCCACATACCATTTTTTAGAACATACCAGCTTTACAATTGCAGACACACACCAGCACAATGGAAAGACATAAGGGAAAAAGGGAAAGATTAATGGCCTATTATTTTTTTAAGCAAACACTCAAAAGTTACGTTCACACTGCTACTAGCTTTTGTGCAACTGAGCTCATGTATTATTTCCTATCTATAGTCCTCTTGCTGACTGACATTAAAGTTTTTTAGCGACAGTCTTCACACACGTAAATCAATGGCTTTCTTTAAAGTTTGCACACAAATTTGAGTAGTTCTGTTTGTGAATGTATAGAGGCATGTCCTTCCATGTTTCATATTTTTTATCAAAAGTTGTTGATTGTAATATGCAAAGCAATGGTGGTCTTTGTAGGAATAAATCACTTATTCCATCTGGTTTAGTATGCCATCATTTAAGACATGTCCTATGTTGTTATTTAAACAGATGCAAGATTTAAAATTTTTCACATTTTCCATGATGGTAGCAACTCGCACCATCTTTTTTTATTTACATATTTATGAAATATATATCTTTTTAATCTGTGAAAATAAGAGTAAATCTATATGATAAAATCCATTTTAAAAAGCTAGTTTCTTTGTTTTATTTAGTAAAATTAAATGTATGGCTCAGATGCAGTTCCAGGCAATCAACATGAGCTGACCAAAGTGTTAGGGAAAAATGGCTCAGGAAATTTCAACAATCAATAAAACCTCTATCAGCATTTACCTGTTTATAAAAAAGGACCTAATTTGAAGTACAATTGACATGAGACATGTAAAATTAAGTGAGTGCTTAAGATCCGAAAGTAATTGCTGGTATAAGCCATGCCATCATTTAAAAAGCTAGATCTTATAATCAAACAATTACAAGATGGAAAATGCTTTTTAATATTTTTTTAACAAAATATCACAACAGGTGCCTCTGTTCCTTCCATGTACTCATACTCAGAGTCCAACTTTTATCACATCATAACCATCTTCCCTGTGACATCAGAACGGCTCTGGCACTAATTGTATACCTAAGTAAAAATAAATAACTTTCTGATCACACATTAACATACCTTTGTTCTCATACTTGACAGAAGTAATTACCATGAGGCTAATAATACCAGCAATCTTTAAACAAAAACTAAACTGCTTAAATACACATGGCCTGGTGAAAGCAAGCAAAAATGATTGAATATGTTGTTGTTTTTTTGTTCTCTAGCCTTGGCACTAACTTGAAGACTAGAAATGAAAGCAACCAAACAAAAATTTAGTTTTGATCAAGGGTAGAAGTAAATCTTTAGAACTCCATCCTACAAGATCACATATTGTTATTCACCAGGCTTTGTCATCAATAACCCAAATCAACTTTATATATATATATAGATATTTTTTATCATCCATGTAGACCTTCTGAAGTGCTACAAGTTCCACTTTCAAGTGTCTTACAGTAAATGGTGCAGCACACATGTCAGTGGCTGACTTTACATTCAGGCAATAAAACAGGCAGGAAGAAAAACTGCCCCCAGTTTTGTGGTTAGGTAGTTGTGAAAACATTTTAGGTGTACCCAGGTTTGAGTAGTATGGCACAGTGATTACATTGTATTAGACTTAATACATGTCTTGACATCTAAAACACCATCAATAGCAACAACAACCATGACACATAAGTAAAGAAATGATATTTAAGTATAAAGCTTTAACAAGAACAAAGATGGTAAAATGTATTGCTCAAGAAGATTAGATAATTTGACTTGTTGATGTGCATGTATTCTTACAAGTATTTGAGTATTTGCTTTTGCATGTATGTGTGTGTTAGCATGAGCACATATTGGAGGTGATGTAATAATCTGCAAGATAAAATGAAACACAGCGGCCAACAGTATACATGTTGATGTTGAGCTCTACTTAAGTTTGGCACTCAGCTTTTCATTAAGCCAGAAGAATATCAGTCACAGCTGACTTACCCTGTTGTCAAGAATACAAACACAGAAAAGCACAGACACACAGAATAATTACATCAAAGAGAAGCAGTAAGAGGGGAGGACAAGGGAGGAGCTGGGGAGAGAGTGGAAACAAGACTGGTATGTAAAGGTCACAGAAAGTTGGCAGAAGAAAAACTAAAACAAATCTAAAAAGCAGCAGAGTAAGAAAGTGGAGGAAAGGGAAGCAAACAAAAATAAAAGGTGTGGTATCACCCCCCCGTCCCTCTGAACAAGAAGGCATTAATCAAGCAACAAAGATGCTTCAGGTTGCTTTCACAGTTCTGCGGGAGTGTAAACAGTTTGCTTGGGATAAAGAAAAATCAAGGTAAGCATTTTGTTTAATAGGAAAACATAAGAACAGTGTTTTGTGTTAAAGGCTTCTGAGAGCAGTGGGTGCAGTACTATAAAGTTCCTGAGCCCTCAGAAAGTATTGAGATTTCGCTGAAAGCACTGACTATTTTCCTGTTTCACCTTTCAATATGCTTTACTTATAACAGCAAATATGCCTTCTTTATTAGCACTTCTTTTCATATCAGAATTGATCTCACCATTTTGCACTGTTCAGCGAGTCATTGCTGCTTTCTGTCACAGAATGAGAAAATTTTATCGAGGCAACGGTAAAAATAAAATGGTCCTGTGTTCTTGTGACCTACTTCACCAAGTCTGTTAAGCTTTCTGGTTTGTTTGTTCATTTGTGCAGAACATTAAGGAACAGGCTCAGAAGTGTACTGACTTAGCTATGCCACCATGTTTGCATTGTCTGTCCTTTACATCGACCTAGCAGGACATTCTTAGAACTTTTGTTATCTGGCTTAAATCAAACTTCACTCTCCACACTGGAGAACTGAGCTGAGCCCCTTCGTGAGCAAAGGCTCTTGGCTTTTAGGGGTAAATGAGGAGATTGAGGAAACCTCTGGGGCTGGGGTACGGAGCGCAGTCTCTGGTACTGCAGTTTGGCACTTGCAGAAGCCATCGAGGAGGCCTGAATAGCCCCTGGTGCAGATGAGACCACTGAGGGAGAGGATACAGATGAGGAAGAGGTAGGGAGAGGAGCATGGATGGAGTGAGAGGAGGACGAAGGAGCCGGAAGGGCTGGGAGTGGTGCTGGCAAGTTCGATACAAGAGAAAGAGGTGGGGATGGTTGTCTTCCTCGATCTCGATCCTTGTCTGTTCTTTGTGTCCGTTGCTGGATGCTTATGTTTGACTGGCTTCCAGATTTAGAAAGATTGTGTGACCGATCTGGTTTGGATGATGATGAGGAGTCATGTTTTGGCTTCAAGGGACCACCAAAACTCTGACAATGATGGTACAGCTCTTCCTGGCTTCGTGAAGTCAAACGAGCCCATTTTGAGGAGTGTGGATGATGTCGAGGTGAATGACAGGAGGAGCAAGCCGTGTTCCCCCTTCCTTTGTCCTTGGTCTTGCGCTTACTCTTCTTTTCATCCTGTATGTGAAGCTTGTCAACTGACCAGTATCGACGGGGAGGGGGTGCGGTGAGAGGAGGAGGTGGCCAATGGGAACCTGATCCCCAACTTCTCTCTTCTTTAACACCTGCACCAGAGCCCCACCCAGTCTCTGCAGTCCCCCATCTTTCTCCTCGCTCTTGGAAGAGATCATCTCTGCTGTTGACACTACCTGCTTTATCTCTAGAAGGATATGTGCTAAAAAACCACCCCCCTCCCCCTATCCCTCCCACTGCCCTTCCTTCATGATCCTCCCAGTACCTCTCAAACTTCCCAAATTCTCCTGAAGAACCGTCATCATCAGAATATATCCCGACTACCTTATCACGTTCCCGCTCCTCTTCAGAAACAGTCCTACCTCCTCTATGCCTTTTTCCACGGCCTATTTTCCTCCTATCTGACTCAGAATCTTCTTCATCATCTACTTCAGATTCCCACTCATGAAAAGACAATCCCTCCTTGGAATGCATCTCGCCTCTTTCATTTCTACCAAGGAGTGGTCTCCTTTCTCCTTCAATGCCTACAGCATCTCTGTCTGAGCCTTTGCTTTTCTTTCTTTTAGCAGAGGCAGGTAACAAGGGCAGAAATGCAGATGGGAGAGTATCAGAAGGATTTCCTCCTCGCCAGAACTTGACAGATGTAGAAGCCCTACCAGAGTTAGGGTGGTGCTTGCTATTTCTTCTTCTGTGATGTCTTTCTTTACCTCTATCCTCTTCTCCATCATCTCTTTCTTTTCCCTCTCTGTTCTTCCTTTCCTCTTCCCCTGGGATGTTCCATCCATAGCTTCTGATGGAGCTCTCACTCTTTTTCCGAAATGACTCTTGCCTCAAAGCTGGGTAATTAGGGAAATCTGGCGTTGCTGATTTCACTTCCTCTCGTTTTTCTGGGTCCCCACCCTCTTGCTCTGTCCTCTTACGCTCTCTCTTTCTTAACTTATCCTCTTTCTTCCTCTTCCTCTTTGCTTTACGACGCTTACGCTCCCTTTCTCTTTCCCTTTCCTCCAGTTTCTTCTTTTTTCTTCCTTTCTTTCTTTGTTTTCTCTCCCTTTCTCTCTCCTTGTGGTGTCTCTTCTCATCTTTACTTACTGCTCCTTCTCCTTTGTTCAATGTCCCTCCCCTTGCCCGGTCTCTGTCACCCCATGATGCCCACCACTCCTGCAACTGTGCCAACTGACTGCCAGTTCTCTCTCTTCCAAAATTTCTTTGTGGATGGGGTTTTCGCGGAGGGACTGGAGGAGGTGGTGGGCTGCATGGCAGTGAGCGAGATGACATTCTCCGGGAACGCATCTTTTTCCGTGACCCTAAAAGAAGGCTAGACTCCTCTGTAAGAAGATCTGAGTCATAATCATCATCCACCGTGAAATCTCGATCCCCTGCTCGATATCGGAAACTCAGTGAGGAGTTGTAGGAGCTTTCACTAGAGCAGGATGAAGGGGAATTTGATCGAGAAAGTGACCCAGTTGATGACGAAGATGATGACGATGATGAAGATGAAGACGAAGAAGATGAGGCACTGGAGCAAGTTGAGTAGAAACGGCATGGAGAAGAAGGTGTAGTAGGTGTATGTGTAGGGGAGGAGAGGGGTACTGGAAGTGGTGGAGGGGGTCTGTGACCCCTCCTTCCAACTCCATCACTTGCCCCATATCTTCCACCTCCTCGTCTCCCAAGAGGGAGTATATTCTCATAAAGTGGACCTCCTGAGCCTTTTCTCCTTGCCTGAGCAAGGCTTCCTCTGCGCCAGAAGGGTGGCCTCCGTGGAGAAGATGGAAGTGGTGGGGGTGGCTTAGAAATGAGGTGCCCTTGTCCTTGTTGAGGGCCTTTTGGAGGCAACCTTGGCATTCCTGGGGCTTTAAAGCCTCGAGAATTGGCTTTGGTAGACTGTTGAGGACCTGCCTGTTGGTCTAAGTTAGCCCCTAGCCCCTCTGGATCTATTGGGCCATAGTAGCGCTTATATTCATCTAGCCCTGTGTCGCCTCCTGCTCCAACAGGGATCACTCCCTGATGGCTCCAGTGTGTTCCAAGGTTCTGCTGATATTGCTGCTGTGCTTGGAGTTCAGTTATACCCCCTGCAATTCCTCCAACACCCACTCCTCCACTGCTGCCTCCACTCATGACTTTTTCTGGCTTTGGCCTGTTCCAGCGATCAACAACGGCCAATCTGCGGTCATGACGAGGCAGGAAGGTGGAGCAAGGCATAGGGCCTTCCAATAAAGGGCTGTTTGAGGGACCCAGAGCCATTGCTGAATGTCCTGTAGTGATTGGCGATCCAGGTAACATAGTCGTGTAGGTCTGCCCTTGTTGCTGTTGGTGGTGCTTCTGCTGCTGTTGCACCATTGCAATGGCTGTTGTGTTGTTTACTGTGGCTGTAACAAGGTGTTGTTGAGGGACACTAGGCATAGTAGTTACAGAATGGTATTGGGGCAAAGAGCTTTTACTTCCTCCTGGAGCTGTCTCATCCTCAAACTGGCAGCAGCTGTACATTCCCTGAGATGACATAACAGAGAGAGGATATTTAGATAAGCAGGCAGAAACATATGAAAACATAAGAAAAACAGAGATGGGAACACCCCCAGTCTTGATAAAAGAACTCTAGTCTATTTCCTCTTATCCATAAAATAAATAATGTGAAAGGGATTTTAAAAGCAATAGCTTAGGGATATATAGAAATTCTTGAAACAACCTCTACTAAACATATGCACAAATAATTTGTTAAAATTGACTAACTTCTTTATTCATTTTTGATAGATTAAATCATAAACAAAAGTTGTGCATCTTTTTAAAAAATGTTTCTTTTTTTGAAAAAAGGTTGATGTTTAATAACATGATGTTTCAAAATTGAGGTGAGTTTAAGACAACATCTCAAGAAAATAAATAAAATTTTTAAAATGTCTTCTAATGAGAAGAAATATTTACTTTAGTGTCTATTTTCTGTCTTTTTTTTCTTTCAACTTTAACACTGTTTTATTTTGAACATGTCTATTTGTTATACATTGTTTGGTTTTCAGTTCCTACACCCGTGCTCTCCAATTACTTTTTTTTTAACAGTAGACCTTGCATGGATTTTTGCTTGCCTTAATGCTTTTAAATAAATTATCAACCAAATGCCTTTGTTTCTGTTTAAACAATTAATCTACTAAAATATTTTTTTCTCCCTGCCCATCTCTCATAAATGTGCTTTTGCTCTGTTCAAATCTATGACACAGAACATAAAAAATGGCTAAAATCATACATTTCAAAAACCCAAATTAAAAAACTCAGTTGAAATGTGTGTCATAATTCTGTCCCTTCTGTGACACTCTGCTCTAATCCATTTTATTTACACCTTTGAGAAGAGGAATGGGGCTCAATTAACAGTCTGAGAGTAGTCATGTAAATCACAAAATTGCTATTATTCCTCATATGATCAGATGACTCATATGATATCCAGACCATAATAATGATAAAACACACACAGCCTCTTGTAAATCTCTGCTCTCCACCAGATATAGATCTAATGCAGGGACTATAATAATGGCTCTCCTGGACAAATGCATTGGCAGTCCCAGTGACAGAAGTGCTATCTCAGTCCCTAGAGCAATTGATGCTGCACACTGTGAAATTGGAACTTAAATAAGTCATTGACTGGGCTAAAAAAGGTACCAGAAACCAGCCACACAAGCAGAAAAGTAAAGACAATGTTTATCTTAGTAACTATTTGCCAGAGTTTTTGTCTTAATGCACCCCAATGTAGCTTTAGGTAAAGAACATGATGAAGCTGTCTACAATGAAGCTCTACTTGCAATATCTCTATATATCAGCTAGGTCAAAGGAAGAAATAGCTTTCACCCTATTAACCAAAATTGAGTGTTTAAACTACAAAGAATAACAAAATACTTTAGGTTTGCATGTTCCCCCTGTGCATGTGTTGATTCTCTTCAGGTTCTTTAGCTTCTGCTCACAGTACAAAAATAGGACTGTTAGGTTCATTGACTTCTTTAAATTCTCCTTAGGTGTGAGGGTGTGTGTGAATGGTTGTATGTCCTGTTTGTCTCTGTGTGGCCCTGCAATAGACTGCCGACCCGTCTAGGGTGTACCCTGCCCCTCGCCCATAGACTACTGGAGAGAAGCACCAGCGCCCCTCGCGACATGAAAGTCTCATTTTGACTTCTATGTCAGAGGTTAAAGTTCTTGTATTTTATGGACTAATAAGTGATTATTTTAAAGATGTTAAAAAGAGTAATTCTAAAAAAGTAATTCAATATAAATCACAGAGTGGTTAAATATAAAGGTTTACTAAGTGGTTTAAGTTTTAAAACAAGTCAATAAGAAAAAACAAAAAACAAAGCTGTTTTTAGTGTATATGTTAGGTCTACTTTCACCTTTATTTTTTCTCAAGCAGTTCAATCTAGGTTTACAGTAGTTCAAATTCACCACAGTACTAGTTCACAATAAACTAATTTCCAGGTGCCCTCACAGTTAAACATACCCCGGTCCCATTCACGTATCCAGTAACATGGACAGATTCAGGTTGAATTATTAACATGTCAAAGTTTAATTTTAGTTATGATTAAGAATATTGTTTGATGTGCCAACTGGTAAGAACTGATCTGTTTAGAAATGAAGAACTGATTGCAATGTGTCATTGACTTTAGCAACCTCCCTTCTAAACGGCATTGATATATCCTGAGGAAAAACCTTGACTGAAGCTTCGATCATATCCACATCCATCTGAGCTGCTTATCTTTGACCATTTTACCTATTGACATTTGACCTCATCCTCATTTGTCTTTCTACTTGCCAAATAAATCATTTGCTGAATTGTACACCGAGGGCCGGATCTATCAAAGGTTTGCGTGTATTAAAACGTGAGCTATTTCACTGCGCACGCTAAAAAATGTACAAACTGATCTATCAACAGCGTGCTAAAAGGATTTGGTCTTTAAAACGTGCTAAATAGCGCCTCTTATCCATTTAGTACTTTTTCTGCAATGAATATGCAATATGGGGCGTTTACACGCTAAAGTGCGTCTTGTGGGAGGAGAACATGTAAATATATTAATTTAGCACTCGCAAAGTGATTTATCAAACCTGAACGCAATTTTGCTAACGGTATCTGACTCTATATTTAACACGTTTCAAAAGAAGGTGCAAATGGTCTGTATGCGTAATTGCGCACACATGGCAGCGGTTATTGTCGCAAGAAGGAGACATGGAAATAAAGCAAGGAGACGCAGAGAACGCATTTTTTCACTCCGTGTGAATATTTTTGCAATGAACGAGGAAACGATCATCAAAACATATCGTTTATCCAGCATTGCCATTTTGGAGCTGTTGGGGGAACTCCGAATGGATTTGGAGCCAGCCACAAGGAGGACCCACGCAATACCAGATATCACAAAACTCCTTGCAACATTTCACTTTTTTGCATCTGGGTCATTCCAGCGTACGGTTGCAGCGAGAGCTGGGATCTCCCAATCTCGTTTTTTCAGAAGTGCTGTCCGACGGGGTCGGGGTTCTCCCCCTGCGCCTGTGGAGCAACGTACCAAATGCTGCGGGGATCTCATCCACAGTCACAGGCCAATACAAAACACCTGTTTTTTTTTTGTTTTTTTTACTGCAGCACATACCACCTTAGGGAATAAAGGTTGCCAATTTATATATATATATATATATATATATATATATATATATATATATATATATTTACTATATTTACTTATTTATTTTTTTTGTTGGGGGTCACTGTAAGATTTAAATTTCTTAATGCACTAGTTTGTACAGACTACAAACTACTTTGCCGCAAACCACAAAACGCGCAAAACCATCATTTAAATAGGGCGTCTCCAACAGTTTTGCACCTTCCACCAGTTACGCAATCGCTCTTGTTAAATCACCCGCAAACCATGGTTCAGCCCCTCGCGCAAAATTCCAGTTTGCGAGCGCAAATTACTGCACGCAAAATTGGATCTTGATAAATCCGGCCCCTAGAACCTACAAGATTTGGTTCTAATTTTGAAGTTCCCCCACATTTTAATGCAGCTTGACGTTTTTTTCTGCAAAATCACACCCTATATTTCTTCACTTTAAAATACCTTTTTTCTGTTTTCATTCTTGCATTTTTTTTTTCATTTCATACTTTTCCTTCTGTTTATTATTCCTTTTGCATGCCAACTACCTTCCCTTTCATACACTAAACACTACAATCTGCCGACACTCAGCCTACAGAAATGTTACACTCATAAAAAAGACAAACCAGTTGCACAACAGCAAAGTGATCATACTTACTCGGTGTCTTAAAACTCTTAAAAGGATGTCAAAAATAAATGTTTTAACCTATTTGGGGCTCTGTCCCTTTGTCGTGACTGAGAGACCGAAACAAGTACCAATAAGATGCTGGCACTCTTATATGTCTGTGGGTATTCTGTACCCTGACTGCATCTGAAAATCTGTACTTTTTCTGACTTTAATGAAATAATAAAAAAAAAAGAAAGAATCCCCAAATTATTAACCTTTAGGTTAATGAAAACATCTGCTGCTGCATCAGTGATGCATCAGTTTTGTTAATATAGCCTGGAAAGAATATAATGGTTGTTTCACTGATTAGATCTACTGCTTCAGACTAACAATGAGCCAGTTTATAACATCTGATACAGGAGTGTCTTTCTGTTATCTTATACTATCTTTTTACACTTCTTGACTGAGCAGCTGAGCCTTAGAATCTGTCTGAACCTCCTGGAGCAGGACACCTTCTAAACATTATTGCCTTTATCCGAATTATTGTTTATTATAGGAATGAATTGAAATTAGCAAAGAAGCACACATTTATTGAATTGAAGAAATTACAGACATTACAGAGATATATTTTTCTAGTTATTGTTAGTTGAAACCCCACACCTTGAGGTTGGTCTGTCTAGAACTAAAGCATAAATAAATTTAGATTTTTCAGTTTGTTACTGACAGGCCAAAATTTGCAGGTTTTGAGCTTATCACTGTTGAACAAAGAAAGGTACACAAAGTTTATGGTTTTGGAAAGATTTTAAAAGAACTTGATCTTGGATATTACAAAACCTAATAATGATTTGTGATAATCAATAATTAGAGTATCATTTTATTTTATTTAAAGGTTATAATAAAAAAAAAAAGAAAAACAACAACAAAAATAACAATTTTTTTTTAATAACAATAGTTTTTCTTACTCTGCTGAGAGCCAAGAGAAAGTCCATTCCCCCAGACCTCTTCACACAATGCCTTAGTTTCCAGTACACCAGATGCTCCCAGGCAAATACTAGGAGACTGAGGCCCATGGCTACCAGCAGCATGTAAAAGACCCCCGCCATGTTGTCAATATCCAGCTTACTACTCATCACCTGCAGGAACAGAATAAAGTAGCAGAAAGAAAACAAAATACAAAAAAAGGAAAAAACTATTCCTTAAAGTAAAAGTTAAATAAATTAAACATCTGACTGCCTTACTTATCAATATATAAATCCAAAAATGACTGAGCACACAGTAATTTTCTGTCTTAAATTTGGATAAGATATCATACCTCAATCTTATCATTGTGGCAAATTCCAGACAGCCAGAGGCGCTCCAACATATCAATCTCATCTGGAAGAAAGGGGAAAAGGGGGGGCAGAAAGAAAGTAAAACAGGTGAGACATTTAAGGAGAAAGGGTAAAGCGTGGAATATGCACATCAAAAAGACAACTAGGGAAATGAGTTCAGTCAGTGCAAAAGGAAAGGGGAACTTATGTAAAAAAATGCAAAGAAGGGGATTACCACCTCTTTGTCATGAGATCAAGGTGTTTTATCCCCCTGAGGCAGAATACTGAAGCATGAGAAGAAAAGTGGAAGAGAAATGAATGAGAAAGAAAAATGGAGTCTTAATGATGAGAAAGAAGGGAAGGGATGATGGAGTCAACCACGATGGAGAGAAATTAAAAAAGGAAACAAGTCTTTTCGAAATAGTCTTGCAAAAACTTTAAACAAAAAAGGTGAATACAGGCAATTAATAAAGCAAGAAAAAAAGTTTTTCTGATGCAAGCAAACCATAGAGTCATAAGAACAGACAAAAAGGTCTGAAAGGATAAATTCTAGAGGATATTTGCTTCACAGGTTATGAGATCGAGAGGAATTAGTGGCAGAGAGAAACCCTTTGAAGCCATTTGCGAAATGGTTGGGTGTCTGAGGCAGGTACACTGAGGGTAAAGTGATGTGACGGCACATGGGAGATGAAAGGAGGAAAATACACAAGCATTACATTTCCTGCTCAAGCTATCCCAAACACACACTCTGAACTCCCGTGTGATGGGACTCTCTGTGCTGGCCATTACTGCATTCATCAAAAAGCATGAGGTTGTGAGGAGAAGGATGCCTTTTCTTTTCACGTACAAGGCTTAAGATGTACATGACTGGGTTGCAGAGGACTTTTAAAATGAGCACCCTGGCTCAGCGTCTAAAAAAATGCACAGAAACTGTCACTCTACACATTTTCATGATGCCCCCAGTTAGAGGATCTGATTCCCAATTATAAATTGACCTTTGGATTAATTACTGAGGTCTGGAAACCCCTCCATAATGCTGTGCCGCATGGATTAGACTTCCACTAGTCAGCCACAATGAGGGAAACTTCAAATTTGCTCAAACAAAACATAAATCTTTCTCCAGTGCTAACTACTGTACAAAATCAGACATTGGTAAAAGGGCTTGCTTGAATTAAAATGTCCCAACAGACGCTGCTATAAATGTTCATTCAGAATCGGCTTACTCCAATAATCTAATACTCCATATTTAAATTGGAGCTCAGAAAGATTCTTTTTTCTTATGATACTTGCTCACTTTCTGCATTTAACTGTAATTCATTCCAGTCAAAGGGATGTGACACTTCAAAAGATGGAGGCAGCAGGAGTGCATGAATGCACATGTTTTGATTTGCACACAAGCATAAATTCCCAAATATTTAATATCATTCCAGTAATTCTCGACCAGGTTGACATTAGATGCGGTACAGAATCTTTAATCCTTTCAATGAAATTTTAGGAAACATCTCCCTTATCCAATCAGTGCAGAAAAGCATTAAATAAAGGCTATGCTGATGAAGGTTCTCAGTCATCCAGGTCATAGTCATTCCGTAAAAATTCAAAAAATATCCACTTGAAAACCAAGTCCAGTGGATATTTTTTGAATTTTTACGGAATTAAATAAAGGCTATTATCACCTGAAGGAGTTCTATGCATACAGCATCACCTTTTGTGACTCCAAAAGCCAGCAAACAAGACAAACACTATCCAATGCTCATCACAACAATAGGATTTTCTCAGAAAGAACATTTTTTTCGGCTGAGTTTCCTTCATGTGATTTCTGCTGCACCAACATAAAGAAATTACTGCTTAAACAATAATAGAATCATCATGTCTAAGAGTAACTCTTTGCCTTTTTTGTAAATAACAACAAAGCCTTCCACACTAAAAACGACTTAAATAATCTTAATTTGAAAATAAGGACAAGGGAAGCTCATTAGTTAAAGGTGAAAGAACTCATGGTAGCTTACTTTTTCAAAAAAAAAATCCCCTATATGTTTTCTTCCAAGAAGATTTGGCAAGTTTCAAACTCAAAATGAGTGTATATATATTTATTCATCAAAATTTCAGATTAAATTACCATTCCACTGTCATGGCAACTGCTAAACGTTTTTTCATTATGGCAGTTCAGTATGAATGCATAGTCCCTTGCTAAATCATATTGGATGCATAAACAACCCCGTCTAACAAATACTAAAACAAAAAATAAAACATGTTTTGTCAGCTCTGTGCACTGTTGTGTTTAATTAAATTTCTTTCATTTCTTATTTGGTCTGGATTTGCACTTTTTATGATGTGTGCCATTCTGGAAAGCAATCCTACATGGCATACAAATAAGCAAAAATGTACTCGTAGTTTAAATAAATATTGGTTGGGACAGAGAACACAGGGAAGTAATTCAAAGGTAGCACAAAGGCTACATTGTGATTGGCAGAACAAAATGATGTTTGGCACCGTCGAGTCATTTATCTGGGGGAGAAATTGCTTTGTCAAGACATCAGCAAACCTTTAAAAGATGAGATAATGATTGAACAACAAGTTTGAAAGGAAGGATGTTTTTTTATACGTCAAAGAATGAAGGATGCAGATTGTTTTTTGTTGGTTTTTTTTTTCCTCTCTTGTTTTTTTATGACAGTACACTCTGCATTTGGTGACACCCACAGTATAGAAGTCTGGAAAAACCTTGAAGCAGAATAACACGTTTTTTAGAATTATTTTGACTACATTTATGAAGAAAAAGAAATGTTCAAATTTGCTTAAGAAAGTCTCTTATGTCACGGGTTTCAGCAGCCCTCACTATTCACAAAACTATAATCTTTAATCAGTTTTTTTCATTTCAAATTAACTATATTGTTTTTATCAACTGTTGCGTAACTCTTTAGACTTAACAGAAAAGAAGATTTTTCTAAAAAATGAAAATGTGAAAATTGCTTGGCATTAAAGTGCATTAATTTTGTTGGTATTCACACATTCCGGTCACAAACAATATGAATATCTCAGTGTATGTGAACTAAATACTAAAAGTTTATTTAATATAGTTGTCATATATTGCAGCATGCAGGAAAAGTCAATAGGATGGGACTGGAACTGCTACTTCGAGGACCAAACCCTCTGTACATGAGTTGTGCATTTATCAACATTATTGCCCAAACCTCCATATATCAGCCGTAGCATTTAATTAGCAGAAAAAATTCAAATATGTATTTTGTTTGCAACAAAAAAACCTATGATTTTGTGTTACGTTTACCTGTAAACTTTATTATGTCTTCTTTGTTTTGCTACAGTTAAACCTGAAAGTTGCTACTGCTGGACAATAAAGGCTGTATCTATTCTATTTGTTTGCATAAGTCTACAGCCAGTGCAGCTAATGCATAATTAATTCAATGGGGGGAAATTAGATGTACGGCCTCACATAAATGTGGAACAGCTGTTAAATTATTTGCATTTTCAGTATGACATATCATTAGTGTAACAAGTTATATTAGCTTAAAGGTATAGTGGAGGATGCTCTTTTTCTAGGTGGATCAGCAAAATAGGTGGTCCTCCTAATTGTCAATCATTTTGGTGATATGTTTACGTGAGGCCGTCCTACATGCTCAACCCTATTTTCACTTACTGGTGAGACTGACATAGTGGAAAAATTGCAAATCTTCTTTTGGAAAGTAAGCTTCTATGAACGATGCAAACAGCAACTTTTAAACATAGCATGAAGAAGGAGAAATAGGCTTTTACATGTGTTTTAATAGGTGTACAAGCTATCCGCTCTGAGGAGTGGGTACAGGGTTGTGCATGTGCATTTTTATTTTTAAAGTGGAGAGGGCGGTTTCTTTCAAAAATATTGCGAAAATCCTCCACTATTCACCTTTAAAGCCACAGTGTGTAATTTTCAGCGACATCTAGCGGTCAGACTGCAGACCGCAGCAACATGAACCCCCCCCCCCCCCCCCCAGCGCTTCTCCCCCCCAACAGTACGGCGAGCGTTACGGGACAAAATGTCTTCCACGACATCCGCATCACCTACCTTCTCATATGATGAGGTTTGTTTACATAGATCATTTTAATATTGCCATCTATTGTTCAGTACCGTCTCAGTTCATCTCTCTCAACTTGCCGTAGTTACTTTCGAGCGTAATGGGCAATCTCGCAGTCGCTAGTTTGTTGGCTCTGTGCTGCCGTAGCGCAAAGATGTCTGCCTCCATGGCTGCGAGACCCGCTCCTATGTAATTATAAATAATTCTAAGGCAACGCAAATATTAAGGTTAAGAGGCTGAGCTCGTAGATGATGATAAATAACATAGTTATGTATAATATATTACATTTTTGACTGTATATCCCTGTAAATATTACACACTTTGCTTTAAGGATTTTTTACTGTTTGAACAAGAGTAGCAATAATTATGGTGGATGCTGTATTTCTGGATTTTCTGTTTTGAGTTCAAATTGTTTCTTTGGATTGTGGGGGGATAATGACTCTCAATGATTCAAGTAAGTTGACGTAACATCTCAAAGCATTCCAGCATGCAGAACTGCAGTATAAATGGAATAACCATTTAGAAAAAGAAGAATCTGAAAAAGAGAAACCCAAACGTCTGAGAGCAGCTGTAGCCTGAAACACAGAGTGGCCATTTGTTAGTTAAAAACCCTTAAACCAATACTCACTCCTAGTTTTGCAACACTAAATTACTAGCCTACTTTCTTAGGTTTCTAAAAGAAAGAAAAAAAAACTTCATCTTTATCAAGTTTTAAATAACATCAACATAAAGTGTTTTATGAGCTTTATTTTTTCCCCACCCTATGATATAAATTTATTCATATACCTGCAGACATAAAGCTGACCTGCATACTGCATTATAAATGTGTTGTTTTTGACTTCAGGTAGAGTGGGTTAATGTTTACCTTTGGCTAAATGAGGGTGAGCTCTGGTAGATAGAAAGCAGGTACATGCCTAAAATGCAATGCTACACATGATTGGATGCTCTCATGGAGGGATTTTTTCACAAGATGTCATATAAACCTATGACATCTTGT